CTCACCCTCTCAGATTTTTCCTGCTCTGTACAATCGTGATGTAAGAAACTAAACATGAGGGATGTAATGTTTGATACGAACTGTTTGTTGTTCTTGTTGGTGTTGGTGTTGTGTGGTGGTGGTGTTGGTAGTGGTTTGTGGTTTATGTTGGAGTTGATGTCTACAAATAAAGCATAACAAATTAGGGGCGGTCATTCAATCTCCTTGGCATAATGGTTACTGTCACTAATCTTCTGCTATTTTCACTAAACATAACATGAGTGTTGTATTTTCTTGCTTTATCTGAAGGTGAAGCACCGATCAGCAGTGGGGGACTACCACGGTGCCGCTGTCTCATCTTTGGAGGCGAAACGCTGGTCCTGGATCGGGATACTGGTTGGAATTATTTCTGGAATTGGTATCATTCTGTATGCTACATTAGGCCCACCCGTTCAAGATGGTTATTAGAAAAATAAAAAGAAAGAAGGAGGACAGGAGACCATGATTAGAAAGAAAGAAGTGCTGCGTAGTTTAAAACCCAATTGTTTGATCTCAGTCAGTTTGATTTCATGACAACAATCCTCGATTATATAGATTTTCGCAAAATTCCGCCATAGAACCACTGCAAACGAGAGAAATAGGTAGAGAGAGAGAGAGAGAGAGGTAGGGAGAGAGAGAGAGACTGAGAAGGGAGGGAGAGAAAGATAGACATAGAGGGGAGGGATTGTACGTGTTTAAGGGGATAGTTGAGTTTTGTTTTCAGACCGCAAATGCCTTCAAAGTGCATGGTTATTTCTCTTAACCTTATCTATGACATTTCTAGTGCCCTTTTAGAACCTAAAACTGCTATGAAGGTAATTTTAGACCCCAAAATGTTTGAAATTTAGCGAATACGATCATACCAATTCAGCTCCATTTTCAAAAAAATACGGTGACTGTTAATTAATTATTTATTTGAAAATAACAATACATGAGCAGGCTGGTTGTGCGTAATTTAACCAACACGAAAATGCCAACGAAGAAGCCAACATCGGCATCGGCTGAAGTACGACGTAAACGACGTTATTTTTGATTTTTTTTTAACGGCTTTTTCAAATTATCTAACATTTATGGTGGTACACAAGTAATAGAAATCGTTATATTTCTGTATATTTCAGCCGCCTTTAAAGGCCCACTGCACTACTTGTAGCTACTTGCGCCCTCTATATATCAAACAATGCCTAATCGGTGACCATTGGTCCCCCATGATCCTCTTTTTCTTATGTTAACTGAGAGCTGAGTTGATGAGATAACCACCTGTCCAGTGACCTTGCAGGGCAGTCTAATCCCTCCTTTAAACTACGGCAGATAAGCTTTAAACCTATTTTGATCAAACAAAGGTGATTTTGTCATCTAAATAGTATGTTCTTTCAAATTTGACAATCGTTTTTGTTATTATCTCACAAAAAAAAAAATTTGTGTAGCGCCATCTGCAACATAACTCAACTATCCCTTTAATGAATACTGAATAAAGAACATGAGATCACATGAGATCTTATGTTCCTATAGTTAAACGTGATAATATTCCCAGGGTCAGTTTTAACTTAATCAGTAGAATCAGGACTTGTAATCTAAAGAAATATTTGTTTAATTTAGCTTATAATTGATTACCATAACCTTTTATGTCTTTACCTTTCCTATCGCACTTTGTATAAATGTATCATGTATGTATTTTATCACAAGCTGCGCCTTGAGCATTTGACTGTCAAGTGGATGTGGCGCCTTATAAATCTCATGTATTATTATTATTATTATTATAATTTATAAAAAACGATAAATCTTTGCAAGAAAATAATGCTTTTATAAAATAAATCTTGTTGTCTTTTGTAGATAATCCCGCTTAGGAATTTATTCATAATCAAATTATTTGGGATACTAATTCATGTATCTATGTGAATGGTTCTATAATTTTTAAAGAAAGATTGGATAAACAGGTATCATTACAATTTTATCACATATTCTGAGTTTGTAAATAAGTTAATTGTTCATTGTAATTTTCTAGATTTCTATTCAATTATATCGGCTATACCTTTACAATGAAAGCATACTTGCGAAGACCCACCTAAAAACATTTTTAATTACCAATCAGAAATTACTTGCAGAATGAAAAAAATAACTGAAGTATGTTAACTAATTCATAAATTGTGTGTTGACAAACTCTTTATAGTTCCAATTTCCTAAAAAAAATGGGAAGTTCTCCTTTTAAAAATCAGTTGTTAATTGGAATAAAATTTACATCATTCCTCTTAAATGCACTTTTTCAAAAAAATTAAGTTATTTTCAAAAAACAAAGAAAATGCAATAAATTATCAATAAATCATTGAATTTTGCCCCGGTCCCAACAGAATAAAATCGTCTGTGTGGCCATGCCTTAAACCATAATGCACGGCCCTACAGAGATTTGTTTCCTGTTGGGGACCGGGGGGAAGTGCAATGAATTATTAATAATTCATTACATTTTCTTTGTTGTTGTTTTTTTTATTTGTGGGGGCGGCGACGTACCCTAGCCCCCGCTGCGTACAGACATGATTCACTGGCTAAGAAATGGCCTCGTTACTGTGAGGCCCCAGGATAAAAAAAGCTGTATCGATCAGCTATATTAATGCCCTGTTGTGAGGCATTAATCATCATTACTATCAGTTATGATTTAATAGCGTTGGTATAGTAATAGTAGCACACACATGCTTTTGCAGTCACGCAAAACAAACACTCGCAAATTATAAGTCAATACAATCAGAGAATGTATACTCTTATCTAGATCTAGTATGAATAAATCATTGTCAAAATCCTTCCATAAATTGGGGTAAAATAGTTATTCCACCATTTTGACCAACAGTGTATGTATCCATAATGTTGTATATTTGCTTATACATGCATTGGTTATTGTTTAAGAAAAAAATGACTAAAGAAATTATTGGAATAAAAAAGTTAAACAATATGTACAAATGTAGACTTTATTTAAAGACAAAAAAGGAAAAAAATATATGGACCACGATACAAAAAACATGATATTGGCTGATGCAAGAAAGACGTGGACATTTTCACACGTTCTACAAAGTGAGTAGACACTGAGAACGGATACATGAGTACCCGCAAGATGCTCCCTAACTTCTGTATGTTATTTGCTTGATCTCCTTATAATCTATTAAATGAATATGCATGTCAGTAAAACGTTCAATTATCAAAATGTTAATTGTCTAGGGTAAAACCCAAGAATAATATTTATGATTCCACATTGAAGGCCTATATTTACAATGATACTTATTGTAGAATGTTTTAATGAAAATAATCTTTATTTCAATTCAACTCATTATTGGAAAATGCTTTAAAAGCAAACATTTATAAGTGGGTTGTAAAACTAGTGTAAGAAATATTTCAATATTTGTATATTTTGCTACATAGTACTGTCACGTCATATTAAAATCATATACGTAAAGGGTCATACGTGTCATTAAAAGAGTGAATTCCAGTTTCAAAGAATCGAAACAGTTTGATGTAGTATCGGGAAAGAGAGAGAAAGATAAAGAGAGAGAGAGGGTAGAAAAAAGCAGAGAGAGAGAGAAAGAGAATGAGAATGAGAAAGATAGAGAAAGAAAGAGAGTTACAGAGAGAGAAACAGAGAGAGACAGAGAAAGAGAGAAGGATGAGAGTTCGCCCTTTTCCAAATAATTGTTTCCTTCTCCTTGTTTATGAACGTCCCTTTTTACCCCTGATAGTTGTTCCTATCAAAATCTTATAAGTACTTCTTTTACACTTTTGATGAGTATCCCTTTTAAATGTAATAATATCCTCCTTAGATTTCCTTTTCATAAGTTCCCCTTTTCCCTTTATTTCCCAATGTCCATTACAAATTATGCCCTTTTCGGTCGTCTTAAGAGACAGATCCAGTTTCAAAGAATCGAAACAGTTTGTGTAATAACAGGAAACCTGATTTTCTACCACCTCAATGGAAGGCAGTGGAGCTGGGGGAAGAGGATGGGGGGGGGGGGGGCACAGTGCACACAAATCACTTTCATAAGAACTTACTGTGCTCCTTTAAGAAAATATTAAATACTCGTTTACAAAGCTTTTAAATGTCCCATCTCTAAATTCCTAAAATGAAAAAAATAAAAGGTGTGTCCTTTTTACACCGAACAGTTTGCCGCTTTAAACTACCATGACATTTTTATATTCAAATGCTAAAAGGGGACATCCAACCTATCACCCTTTAAGCCCAAAGCCCTTTTCATCTTCCTAGAATGCCAATGTAGGATTTCTCAAACTCAAAGCAACTGTATAACTACCCTACATGCTAGGACAAGGTCTTATTATCAACCCTCATCTCCCGAGTAACAATACATTTCTCATAGCCTCCTGATGATTATGGGCCCCTATTTTATAGCGACTGAGTGTAACTTTGCTCAAATTTCCCGCAAAACTGATGGCTCGCCACGTTCCCTCGCATTATTGTTTCTTTCATTAAATTGCTTAAAACCCCATCAGCGTCTGGGTTATTTCAACTAATAATGAGAACAAGTCCGTCGCAATGAGACGTATAAATCTTTTAAGAGATTTGCTCCCTAGCTTATAAATATTAAGACTATCACACACACAGCAGAGTATGCTGCTAAAGCAGTTTCTTGGTCTATGTAAACAGCACAAATTAATGTTATGGTCATCCTCGATGTTGTATCCATTATACAATGTCTAAAGATTACAATCTTCCGCTTTAAGGCTACCCTTTGTAAGTGCCCCCATTTTGTTCTTCTCCAGAGAGTGCTTTTATTTTTGCTGATGCACCCCTGCTTTGAAAGACGTTTCGCCACTCCTGTCTTTTTTAAGGTCTTTAATGCCGCCCATTATGGCTAATATCAATATTTGTACATGTTTTAACCAAGTCCAGTATTAATACAAAATGCACATATTTACACTCTGTGCACACAAAAGCATGGACAAGAAACGGTTATTATTGTGTGAAAGCCATTGTCATTCTACACGCTATACCCATTCAAGTAGATAGACGAGTTTCAAGTGCGACGTATATCAAACACAGTTCAAATCATCTCTCTCGCATAGTCACATTACATCGTTTAGTGTGAGTGGAGAACAATCATCAGGATGGCGTCTGGTAAGACATGGACTTTGTTTTTTATCTATTCGATTTGAAGTTATAATGTTTTATTATGAATGTTGTTCACTTTGGATGTTCGAACATGAAGGTATGCGTATATTAGTGGTTCAGCTTAGATCATGTTGTTCAAAGGGTATATGTTCGATGTGCTTGCTCGTTCGTAGTAGGTATAGTTCTGTAGTGTCAGGCCAGGAACCTATCCGGAAGTCACCAGCATTCTACCCTAATGAATCCTATCTACACCATCGAAGGCATTCAAAGGATTGCCAACCTATACCTGTCCCCTAGTCCCGAGTATCGTGACATATAGTTAGCGCTGGTTTATTGCGATTTATTTGCCATGGTCTAAAATTACATACTCAAAGGTTAATCAGTTTCATTCCAAACCGTATATAAGTGGTTTAATATTTATTCTTGGTTTAATAAGTCAAAGTGCATCACAGTATGAACAATTAAAATATGTCCAAGTATATATGCCAGACTAACTCGTTTGATCAAGGAGCATCATCTCTTTATTTTACGATATTTAATTCAATAATCAAGATTCTTTATTCGATGGGCTAAAGTAATGTGTTAAAAATGAATTGTTTATAAAAGTAATAGATTCATAATTTATGTTGAATGACAATGCGTTTCATTTTCTGTCTTTTTAAATGTTTCATAGTTCGGTGAAATTGCAAAATACACAGTTACAGAAATTAAAGTGTATTGAAAGTTAAACATTCCGAAAAATATTTAACAATGTAGAAAAAGTTAAGATCAAGCATATATTGTAAAGAAGTAGGTGAAGTAATTCAAAAGTATAATTGCTTTAAAATATGTAAAATGAAAAAGAAAATATTTATAACGAGTTGTTGGAATAGTGTAGCTGTGTCTGTTTCCCTGTATGTTTTTACCTCGTACTAATGTGCTCTGAAACCGCAACAAAACAAAACACGTCATTCATTGTATTCGCGTTCCATTTAAAAGAATGGATATATGTAGTTTTTGAGTAAGTTTACTATTTGCATTTATTTAAAAAAAAAAACGATCCTAATTTAATTACCAAGTGTGATGATATAAATATCCCACTCATATCTCTGGTCAACCATGTCAATTTATACAGTGAAGTACTTTTCATGAGATCTTGGTCCAGATGTACATTTTTATCTACCTTTACGTATTCATCGAATAACTTAAACTCCTGGGAGTAAGACTAACATGTATGTCTTAATTTGAAATCTTCAAGTATATCAATATTATACTACTTCCTCTTACGTATTTATTTCAACTTCTTCCCTTTTCGGGAAATTGTTTCGATATTCTATAACATTTTATTTTGTGATAAACTTGATGGATCAAAAATTAGCATGTTAGGCGTAAATAATATGTAGAGAGAATCATCTTTTCATTACTTAACTATAAATCATTATTCATTAGGCAATTCAAAAGTTGAAGAAGACTAATATTTCTTTCCATCATGGTTGTTGAATGAGAAGGAGAAATAAATAAAAGTAAAAAAGTGAATTTATCTAAATAAACCTATCACAACATTTCATCATAAGTTGTATCGCCGTCTGGTCTATGTCTTGTGCCAATAATCGTTTTCGTAAAATTCAAATTTGGACCAAAAAAAGCTACCCTTCCGAGGCGCACATTAATTTTGTATGCATAATTATCATCAAACTTTTTACAATTATAACATCGATTGAAAAAGAAACCCTTCCTATCCATCACGCCATTATTGATGACTGTCAAGGGAGTTATCGATAGTTCTATACCAACCTTGTGTAGTTTAGGCACTAGATAACACATACCGACCTTGTGGAGTTTAGGCACTGAATAACACATACCGACCTTGTGGAGTTTAGGCACTGAATAACACATACCGACCTTGTGGAGTTTAGGCACTGAATAACACATACCGACCTTGTGGAGTTTAGGCACTGTATAACACATACCGACCTTGTGGAGTTTAGCCACTGAATAACACATACCGACCTTCTGGAGTTTAGCCACTAAATAACACATACCGACCAGTAATACATTTGTTGGCCTGTATGATGTACATACAATAATTTATTAACAAAATGATGTTTTTGTATTCAGGCATTTCAAGTAACAAAATAAGACCGCTGCTATGGAAACGAAATTTTAAAGAAGTTGTTTTCTTACAGCCCCCTCTCCTGTCAAAAATAGTAACTAATCAATACAAAACAAGCAAAATAACAAACATTATGACATGATACATGTTTGTTATCTCGTACCCTCAGCCATCAGAATCTACTCGTTCTGTCATAGCCACCATTGCCATTTCCAATTTTTTGTTGTTGTAAATACCATATTTCTATAATTTCACTCACAACATATATATTAACAAAATGTTAGCATCTACTTTTTTCGTAATTTTAGATTCCAGTTTGATTGCAATCTAATCTGAGCCATTTGACGTCACGATCATGTAAAAGATCGCATCATAAGAAATTAAATATTTTGGAAAAATATTTATGCGACTGACTTATATATTATTTTGTTTGATTTGATTTGTTTTCTGCATTTTTTCCATATAAAATATAACTGAATAACAAAGAACATATAAATGTAAGGTATAATACAACATAAACAAACAATAATTTCTTCATGTCAAAATGTTTTTTTACATCATATATGTACATATAATAACGAAACCTAATATTTCCATAACATCTGATCATAAATTTAAAGTATTATCCGAACTATTCTGTTGGAAAAGTGCAGGAGACCGCAATCATAAGCAAAGCTTGACAAGGATGGCGGCCTCAAAAAACAAAAACAAAAAATCTTAAGGTAAACCTTAAAATGAAAAAGTGTTTTAACGATCTTTGTGTATGAGTTGGTGAGTGTGTTGTGCAAGTGTATATGTATATATATATATATATATATATTGTGTGTGTGTGTGTGTGTGTGTGCGTGCGTGTGTGTGTGTGTGCGTGTGTGCGTGCATATGTGTGTGTGCATGTGCACGCGAGCGTGCTTGTTAGTTTGTGTTTGTAACGAATAGTGGACGTGCATGTAGCTCTGTGTGGTATAGTGAAGTGGAAACAAATATAGCCTTTACAGTAAAGGAAACTAAGAATACGAAATAGAAAACTAAATTTGCAAAACAAAGTTGCAATGTGACCAAAATTTGACGATTGCCTACTGCATGTTGAAATCAGTTATGTAGATACTTTAATTGCAATCAAACCTGAGCCATTTAAGGTCACAATCATGTAGAATTTTTGTTTTTTTATACTGAAAATCACGTCTTAAGAAATTAAATATTTTGGAAAATATTGATGCGACTGACTGTTGTGCAAAAGAAATAGTTGCGCCTGGGCCCAAGAATGTCTAACTGTTTAGCTGATTGAAATCCAGATCCAGAAGATTGTTTTCAGGTAAAATGCATGTCTGGAAGAACAATTGCTATGACACCTCATCATTACTAGGATGTGTTACCAACGTTCCATGCTTTACTTATGTCTCGTGGTATAATCTGTAGGCAAAACAACTTGCCCAATGGTGTAAGCAGTAGCACTGATAAGGAACGAAACTTGTGTATGATAGTCCATTAGAGTCCTCACCAATATAACACAGGGCTCTTTAATGTTTTTTTGGATATTGAAAAGCTGATAAATAACCTTTTGACATTGTTGTTATTCTTATATTCTCAACATTCTCTTCAATCTTAACAATGAAGGGAAATTAAAAACAAAATATTCCAAACTTGTGTTCGAAGGATTTAACAGAGAGAGAGAGAGAAAAGTGAATATTCTCACGATTAACGACCTTTATATATTTAGATTTTCCCGTCCACTTTAACACCTTTTCAATCAATGTTATATTGTTTTTCACTCAATGTCGTCCTGATACTTCTTAAACATGTACATCTTCTAGTCAATTTCGTATTTGGTCATTCATTTCTTTAGTAACTTAATAACTTTAATAACTCGCATTCAATTTCGTCAAAGTCAAATCAAGTTTGTAATCTTGGGCTGCCACGTTCACATCTATATTTTAATCATTCTATTTGTATTTTGTATTTGTAGTTATTAACATTTAATTCCTTCTCAACGGTAAAATATGAAGCACAATCTATATATAAATTATATACGTAACAATGATTTCAACATAGAGAGTATACAGTAAATAATAGAAGGAGGCAAAAACCCGAAAAGGATAGCTTAAGTTGGGAACGCCCATTATAAGTTAACACCGTTACTGAGAGTACATCATAGATATCATCATGAAACTTACATATTGTATAACAGAACTATAATAGGAAATAAAAGATAGTAAATGGAAGAAAAACTGGGAAGAGAATTTAGTATAAGAAGGCATGTTCACTTAGAAAGAGAACTTGTGTCTACGATTACATCATAACAATGACAAAGTACTACAATACCAAAACAAAAAACAGCGCGTACATATCCTTAAAAACAAGCAAAATCTCAAACAGCAGCTTCATCCGACAACATTGTCCTGGGTAATATAAAGATGGTACCTAGCAACAGCTAAGGCCTGTACGTAAGTGATCAAATTAAATAAATAATTGGTCATAAAACATGTTGTCGAACTCTAAAAAATAATTTCTTTAAAGATGGGACCAGTATGGGAGCGATAGTGCATTCCGGATATTATTCGAATAATCCGCTTCTTCAATAATGTAAGTTTTTGAATTTCCAATGTTTTCTAAATGTTTCCAAAACAATTTCATGTGTGTAGATCACAGTTTAATCTAGCTTAATGTCCCAAAAGTAATCTTAGCAATGATTATTGTGATGATGAGTGTTATAAAACAGTTATTGCTGCTCTTTAATACAACCATTATTATCCAATGATTCCTCAACCCTTAGTGACAATATTTTCACCAACTTCCTTAAACAAAAATGTCTAGCTTTCATTCCGTAAATCCCGCTGGTTCCACGATTGTTGTCTGACTTGCTTTCAATGACAAGAACGGTGACATCACTGTTCAGAACGCTTTTCGCCCCCTTTCTTGTATTTCCTTGGAACATTGTACTATTATTCTTTGTTCCTCGTGTCTACAATACTATTTGAACAATATTTGATGACAATAGACGGCACTCTGGTACTAACTGAATTTGAACCCGGCCCGGTTTACCCTACTCTCTACAGTCTCTCTCTCTCTCTCTCTCTCTCTCTCTCTTTTGTTACTGCCTTCCTTTTCCCTTGCCTACTTCCTTCTGTACGAGCTTTGCTTGATTATTTGGTACTGGATGATTAACATGGAAAAATGAATTTGTTAACATAATCAAATAATGTCTTATTCATTCTAGTTTTTGTTTTTTCTTACTGTTTTTAAGACAATATAATTGTTGTCTTTCATATTGCTAGCTAGTTTTATGTCTCATGGTAAGCTGTAAGAAAAATCAATCTAAGCATCGGTTTATGAATGTTAGCAACGATCTTTCGCCATCGCTGAATTTTAATACTTTAAGGACAAGCAGTAACAAATTGATATTTCAGAACTCTTTGTAAATTCGTTTAACCATTGATTTCGCTCAGTTGATTCTATTGTTCGTATTATTCAGCAAAGAGAGAAAGAAGTGAAAATAGTCATGACTCACGACTTTGTAACACTATGCATATTGGTGATCGTCTCTAAAATGCTGTTTGAACAAATATCTTACGACAATAGAAGGCACTCTATAGTACTATTTTTATGTAGCGTCACACGGGCGCGGATTCAGAAGGGGGCACAGTCCGTGCTCAACTGAGTTACATAGTCCCATAAAATGCACCTTATAATTTCAGATCATTCATCTTCACTTTGAAAGCTAAATAATATCATGGACTTATTACGGATGGACATTCGTCGTTTTCTTAACGAATTCATTGTGATTGTCTCCGTCAATGTCTGTTCTGGTCGTTTTTAAAGCGTTTCTTTCGGCCTACCTATCCTCACTATTCTAGATGCTACATACTTCTAACATAGTTCTTCAAACTAAAAACTCTACAAAAGACGTTCGTGCTTTTGCATGCAAAACAATATTGAAATCAGCTCTGTGCTGCCAATCTGCTTTACACTGCTTCTATTTAAGCTTGTTTTTTGACGTCATTTCTAAACAATATTTTTTGAACACTTTATTATGTTCATAACAGAATACAAGCAATTCACCAATGAAGGTTTTGACGTAGAGGGCGTGGGTCATGGAGACCCTCCTAGTTACGATGAGAGTGATGCGATTCCAAGCTCAGCTCCACCTCAGAATCCTTACCCGCCTCCGAACTCTTCTGAGTATCCTATGCAACAGCCTTCTAAATCTCAGCAGGCTTCACAGTTCCCTCAGCAGCAACCAGGCACCTATGCCCCTCAGCAGCAACCAGGCACATATGCCCCTCAGCAGCAACCAGGCACATATGACCCTCAGCAGCAACCAGGCACCTATGACCCCCAGCAGCATCCAGGCACCTATGACCCTCAGCAGCAACCAGGCACCTATGCTCCTCAGCAGCAACCAGGCACCTATGCCCCTCAGCCGCAGGTGGTTCAGGTAAAACACCTAGATGGCAGAAGATAGACAGAGGGGAGGCTGGGAGAGATAAGAGAGAAAGGGGGAGAGAAGGAGAAGGAAAGAGAGGGAGACGGAAAGAGAGAGATAGGAGAGATAGATAGAAGGGAGACTAGGAGAGGTGACAGAAAAGTAAAAGAGAGGGAGAAGGAAAGACAATGAGAGGAGAGATAGAAAGAAAAAAAGGGAGACTAGGACAGATGACAGGTAAAGGAAGAAGAGGGAGAAGGAAAGAGAGAAAGAAAGACAGAGAGAGACGAAAGACTTGATGCATGGCTGATCGTCAATGAAACGGACTTAATTTTTTTGTCCACTCTGTTTGTTGCTACGGCAGGCAGCCAGTGAAAATGAACTCGCTTTATCAAATTATGGAAATGCAAGCATTACTTTAAACAAAGAGAACTTTGTTTTTCCTGGCTCATTTTTCCTGATTGAGATGTCATATGAAAGGGTAAAAATTGAACTTTATAGAAATGTTATTTTCTCTTTGAAATTCAGATACCGCCTGCCAAATAATTTGTTGGTTTCCTCTCTTCAAATCGTGTTTAATCACTCATGCGTGAAATATGCATCATATGAGTCGCATCAAATAGAAGAAGAGGATCTAAGCTTTAAAATGATGTGTCATTTATTAATTATAATTGCGATTAAGTTATGATGAAACATCGATAATTCTCGGTTTCGTTTTTTCTGGGACGCACTGTATAGTAACCCAAGGCTCAGTTAAGCCGTATTGTAGTGTTAACAAAGAAAGTAATTGAACTATAATCCTAATGATTTACCTTATAATTGTGAATTCAAACAGGTGCCGATCCAACAGAACATAGTTCATGTGAGCCCGATGAAAATGCCGAATGACTACTTTGCTCTAGCTCTCGTCACACTCTGCTGTTGTTTGCCGTTTGGGATTGTAGCTCTCATCAAGTCTACTGAGGTATATATGATGGACTATCTAACCAGACTAAACAAATTTTGTTCCATTTCCCTATCGGTCATTACCCCCGGAAAACAACATGTTTGCATTTGTAGTCCATTGACAACTACGAAAATTTAATTTTCTAAAAGGTTTTCATTGTCGGGGTCGGGGTAGGAAGGGATATTTTTAGGAGGACAACTTTTGTCTTTTGAAGAACACCAATATTCTACAAATGCATGGAATTATATGTCGTATGTGATAATTCCAGCCAAGATTTTCATCAATAAGGGTACCTAAACATTCTAAATAGTTCTAACGCGCTGATGGTATATCATCAATAACACTACTTTAAAGAAAATGTTGGCCCTGCGCATATGTATGTTTACAGTGTATGCAGCTTGTTAATTAATATTAGTATATATAATATAGAGATTTAAAAAAAGTATGCTACTTTTGATTATTCTATATTAAATATGAATAAGGGCATCCAAATCCTAATGAGAACAAAATGTTGATATCGTCGGCAAACACACATGTACACTGTGAAAAATGTGGGCAATATTTTTTCGACGATTTGCCCAACGTTGTGCCAATAGTCAACCCAACCATCTATTGGGCAATATTTTTCCCAATGGCCCAACAGCTGGTCAAGATTTTCCCAACAAGTGGGCTACCGTAGTCGGGCAGTTGAAAGGTCATATCTTTGCCAAAATGTTTGTCAAAATACGAAACAATTATGCACGTGTGAAGTAGGGTGCTTACGTTTACCAATACCACTGGGCAAAATATTGCCCAATAAATGGTTAGGTTGACTATTGGCACAACGTTGGGCAAATGGTCGAAAAATATTGCCCAAATTTTTCACAGTGTAGTAAAAACGATACAAGAGGTGATGCATTAGTTCTATCAGTTATATATATAATAAAATAGGGGGACCTAATATTGATCCTTGTGGGACTCCATATTTAATTGTTAGATATTCCGATGAACCATGTACCACATATTCAAGAAGAAATGATGAATTATCTCTAAACCACGAAAGAGCAACTTCTTGAATTCGATAAACTCGAAGCTTTTAAAGAAAAATATAACTCAGCAAAAAGCTTTTGATAAATCCATTACAGTCCCAATTATATGTTGTAATTTTTGTCTGTTTGGAGAAACTGCTAAAATAGCAAGCTCACACGTGGTGGTACATGGTAATGTACACAACTTCCTGGTAAAAAGTCAAGTAGTGATGTCAGGAAAGAAAAGAAAAGAAAAGAAAGCCAAGCATGGGTCAATTTTCAGAGTAATCAGAGGTCAAATGAATTATTATTATTCACGTATTGCATTTCCCGATGATTCCTTTGGTTTTTAATTGTCTTCGGGAAAGCTTTCTAAAGATGATTGGAAGGAAATCATTGCGATGAAACCGGTGACAAAAATACATCACATAGTATACAAATATAAAATACCTTTCGAGGGTCTAGCTAAAACTATGAGCTAATGAAGAGGCATAACTAGTAGCTTTCCCGAGAGCAAATTTATATCAAATTAACTATACCCGAGGCTTGCCGAGGGTATAGTAAATTTGATATAAATTTGCCTCGAGGAAAAGTCACTATTTATGCATCTGAATGCTCATAGTTTGCTAGAGTCAAGAAAGACATTTTATATCTGTTTTATATCCCTCATGAGCAGCTCATTTTTACAAAAAAACTATTACAAAGCCTGCATTGTTTTCTTGCTTTAGTATTCACCGTTTAGATTCAATGAGGGTACCTAAACATTCTAAATAGTTACGCGCTGATGGTATATCATCAATAACACTACTTTAAAGAAGATGTTGGCCCTGCGCATATGTTAATTAATATTAGTATATATAATATAGAGATTTAAAAAAGTATGCTACTTTTGATTATTCTATATTAAATATGAATAAGGGCATCCAAATCCTAATGAGAACAAAATGTTGATATCGTCGGCAAACACACATGTCGTAAAAACGATAAAATAGGTGATGCATTAGTTCTATCATTTAGATATAATAATACAATAAGGGGACCTAATATTGATCCTTGTTGGACTCCATATTCAATTGTCAGATATTCCGATAAATATTGAAGACGAAATGATGAATTATCTCTAAACTAGGAGAGAGCGGCTCCTTAAATTCCATGAACTCGAAGCATATCAAAAGCTTTTGATAAATCCATTACAGTCCCAATTATATGTTGTTGTTTTTGTCTGTTTGGAGAAACTGCTAAAATAGCAAGCTCACACGTGGTGGTACATGGTAATATACACAACTTCCTGGTAAAAAGTCAAGAAATGATTTCAGGAAAGAAAAGAAAAGAAAAGAAAGCCAAGCATGGGTCAATTTTCCGAGTAATCAGAAGTCAATGAATTATTATTATTCATGTATTGCATTTCCCGATGATTCCTTTGGTTTTTAATTGTCTTCGGGAAAGCTTTCTAAAGATGATTGGAAGGATATTATTGCGATGAAACCGGTGACAAAAATACATCACATAGTATACAAATATACAATACCTTTCGAGGGTCTAGCAAAAACTATGAGCTAATAAATAGTAGCTTTCCCGAGATCAAATTTATATCAAATTAACTATACCCGAGGCTTGCCGAAGGGTATAGTAAATTTGATATAAATTTGCCTCGAGGAAAAGTCATTATTTATGCATCTGAATGCTCATAGTTTGCTAGAGTCAAGAAAACATTTTATATCTGTTTTATATCCCTCATGAGCAGCTCATTTTTACAAAGAAACTATTACAAAGCCTGCATTGTTTTCTTGCTTTAGTATTCACCGTTTTGATTCTCAGCTCCAGCATATATATAAAAGTGAGACTCGGCAGCCAATTTGTCGAACTATTTTTTTTTTCCAAAAGCTTTTCTCGATGCGTTATCCTACGCGCACGCCGCGCCGGAATTCTACCTATGGCTTTGCCGGTTGCAAACAATTAAAGCTGCAGATTAAGCTTGCGCGCTCGTTGCTATCCAACAAATAAAAATTTAGATATCGATCGCAAAAATATCGGTGATCGGTGGAAAAAGTGGATTCCGGAATGTGCTATACCACGCCAAATAGTACATTTTCTCACCCTCTCAAATTTATAGTGAAACTATACCTTTTTCGTGCTCTGTACAATCGCGATGTAAAAAACTAAACATGAGGGATGTAATATTTGATACGAACTGATTGTTGTTCTTGTTGGTGTTGGTGTTGGTGTGGTGGTGGTGTTGGTAGTGGTTTGTGGTTTATGTTGGAGTTGATGTCTACAAATAAAGCATAACAAATTCGGGGCGGTCATTCAATCTCCTTTGCATAATGGTTACTGACACTAATCTTTTGCTATTTTCAGTAAACATAACATGAATGTTGTATTTTCTTGCTTTATCTGAAGGTAAGGAACCGTTCAGCAGTTGGGGACTACCACGGTGCCGCTGTCTCATCTTTGGAGGCGAAACGCTGGTCCAGAATCGGGATAATGTTTGGAATTATTTCTGGACTTGTTACCATTGTGTATGCTATATTACACTCATCCATTGAATATGGTTATTAGAAAAATAAAAAGAAAGAAGGAAGACGGGGGACCATGATTAGAAAGAAAGAAGGGCTGCGTAGTTTGAAACCCAATTGTTTGATCTCAGTCAGTTTGATTTCATGACCACAATCCTCGATTATATAGATTTTCGCAAAACTCCGCCATAGGACCACTGCAAACGGGAGAAATAGCTAGAGACAGAGAGAGAAAGGGAGAGAGAGAGAGAGAGAGAGACTGAGAAGGGAGGGAGAGAAAGAGAGACATAGAGAGGAGGGAGAGAAAGAGAGAGAGAAAGGGTTGATTAGAAATGCCTCCCTTTAAATGTTTATTGATACGTGTAACAATACGATACTTAACATTTAATAACTTTTGAATCGAATTATAATAATTTAATACAGTTAAGATGACAGTAATACAAATACATAGGTCTTTGTTACTCGTATGACCGTATTCTTTTTTATTTCAATGGCTCTGTGTATGCAGTACTAAATGTGTTCAAGGATTAATTTTTTAGTTATCTCAAATCGAGTGTACGTGTTTAAGGGGATAGATGAGTTTCGTTTTCAGACCGCAAATGCCTTCAACGTGCATGGTTATTTCTTTTAATCTTATCTATGACATTTCTAGTGCCCTTTTAGAACCTAAAATTGCTATGAAGGTAATTTAAGACCCCAAAATGTTTGAAATTTAGCCAATACGATCATACTAATTCAGATCCATTTTCAAAAAAATACGGTGACTTTTAATTAATAATTTATTTGAAAATAACAATACATGGGCAGGCTGGTTGTGCGTAATTTAACCAACACGAAAATGCCAACGAAAAAGCCGACATCGGCATCGGCTGAAGTACGCCGTAAAAGGCGCTATTTCGTTTTTTCAACGGCTTTTTCAAATTATCTAACATTTGTGGTGGTAAACAAGTAATAGAAATCGTTATATTTCTGTATATTTCAGCCGCCTTTAAACCTATTTTGATAAAACAAAGATGATTTTGTCATCTAAATAGTATGTTCTTTAATGAATACTGAATAAAAAAACATGAGATCACATGAGATCTAATGTTCCTATAGTTAAACGTGATGTTATTCCCAGTGTCAGTTTTAACTTAATCAGTAGAATCCGGACTTGTAATCTTAAAAAAATCCCTCACTTCTATATGTTTATTTGCTTGATCTCCTTATAATCTATTAAATGAATATGCATGTCAGTAAAACGTTCAATTATCAAAATGTTAATTGTCTAGGGTTAAACCCAAGAATAATATTAATGATTCGATATTGAAGGCCTATATTTACAATGGTACTTATTGTAGAATGTTTTAATGAAAATAATCTTTATTTCAATTCAACTCATTATTGGAAAATGCTTTAAAAGCAAACATTTATAAGTGGGCTGTAAAACTAGTGTAAGAAATATTTCAATATTTGTATATTTTGCTACATAGTACTGTCACGTCATATTAAAATCATATACGTACAGGGACATACGTGTCATCCAAAGAGTGAATTCCAGTTTCAAAGAATCGAAACAGTTTGATGTAGTATCGGGAAAGAGAGAGAAAGAGATAGAGAGAGAGGGTAGAAAGAAGGAGAGAGAGAGAGAGAGAGAGAGAAAGAGAATGAGAGAGAAGGGGAGAAACAGGGAAAGAGGGAGGGAGAGAGAAAGGGAAAGAGAATGAGAAAGAGAGAGAAAGAAAGAGAGTGAGAGAGAAGGGGAGAAACAGGGAAAGAGGGAGGGAGAGAAAAAGGGAGAGAGAAGGATGAGAGTTCGCCCTTTTCCAAATAATTGTTCCCTTCTCCTTTTTTATGAATGTCCTTTTTTACCTCTGATAGTTGTTCCTATCCAAATCTTATAAGTACCCCTTTTACACTTTTGATGAGTACCCTTTTAAATGGGATACTTTCCTCCTTAGAGTTCCTTTTCATAAGTCCCCCTTTTCCCTATATTTCCCAATGTCCATTACAAATGATGCCCTTTTTTCGGTCGTCTAAAGAGACAGCTCCAGTTTCAAAGAATCGAAACAGTTTGTGTAATAACAGGAAACCTGATTTTCTACTACCGCAATGGAAGGCAGTGGAGCTGGGGGAAGAGGATGGGGGCACATTGCACACAAATCACTTTCATAAGAATTTACTGTGCTCCTTTAAGAAATATTAAATGCTCGTTTACAAAGCTTTTAAATGTCCCATCTCTAAATTCCTAAAATAAAAAAAATAAAAGGTGTGTCCTTTTTACACCGAACAGTTTGCCGCTTTAAAGTACCACGACATTTTTATATTCAAATGCTAAAAGGTGACATCCAACCTATCATCCTTTAAGTCCAAAGCCCCTTTCATCTTACTAGAATGCCAATGTAGGATTTATCAAACTCAAAGCAAATGCGTAACTACCCTACATGCCACGTTCTCTCGCATTATTGTTTATTTCATTCAAATGCGTAAAACCCCATCAGCATCTGGGTTATTTTAACTAATAATGAGAACTAGTCGGTCGCAATGTGACGTATAATTCTTTTACGAAATTTGCTCACTCGCTTATGAATGTTGAGACCATCACACACATACAGCAGAGTATGCTGCTAAAGCAATTTCTTGGTCGACGTAAACAGAACAAATTAATGTTATGGTCATCCTCGATGATGTATCCATTATACAATGTCTAAAGATTGCAATTTTTCGCTTTGAGGCTATCCTTTGTAAAGCCCCAGTCCCATATAAAGCCGGACCAGCACGGACGAGCACGGACCACTCCGGACCATCCCGGACCATGGTCTGGGGTGATCCGGGATGGTCCGGGATGTTTTGTTCAAAAAAGTGTGATGCTTTAAAAGCTACAGTCCCATATACGTCCCGGACCGTCCCGGACCATCCCGGACCCCATCCGGGGTGATCCGGGATTCGGTCCGTGTTGACACCGTGTTGGCACCGGGGTGGTCCTAGATGGTCCTGGATGGTCCTGGGCGGTCAATAACTCACTCCCGGACTGCCACGGATCAACACGGACCGCCCCGGCGCCACTACGGATGACCCCGGACCCAGCACGGTGGCTACACGGATCACCCCGGATCAAACTATTGTCCCGGACCGTCCCGGACCGTCCCGGACCACCCCGGCAGTTTTTGACCGTCAAAAACATCCGGGGTCGACTCCCGGACCGCCCAGGACCATCCAGGACCATCCAGGACCATCCCGGACCATCCAGGACCACCCCGGTGCCAACACGGTGTCAACACGGACCGAATCCCGGATCACCCCGGATGGGGTCCGGGATGGTCCGGGACGGTCCGGGACGTATATGGGACTGTAGCTTAAGTGCCCCCCTTTTTTTTCTTCCAGAAAGTGCTTTTATTTTTGCTGATACACCCTGCTTTGAAAAACGTTTCGCCACTCCTGTCTTTTTTAAGGTTTTAATGCCGCCCATTATTGCCAACTTCAATACTTTGTACATGTTTTAACCAATTCCAGTATTAATACAAAATGCACAGATTTACACTCTTTTCACACCAAAAATCATGGACAAGAAACGGTTATTATTGTGTGAAAGCCATTGTCATTATACACGTTATACCCATTCAAGTAGATAGACGAGTTTCACTAAGTGCGACGTATATCAATCATCTCTCTCGAATAGTCACATTACATCGTTAAGTGTGAGTGAAGAACAATCATCATGATGGCGTCTAGTAAGACATGGACTTTGTATTTGATCTATTTGATTTGCAGTTATAATGTTTTATTATGCATGTTGTTCCTGCTCGATCGTAGTAGGTATAGTTCTGTAGTGTCAGGCCAGGAACCTATCCGGAAGTCACCAGCATTCTACCCTAATGACTCCTTTCTACACCATCGAAGGCATTCAAAGGATTGCCTATACCTGTCCCCTAGTCCCGAGTATCGTGACTGTATTAATAAGACGTTTGAGTCCATATTTTTGGGACAAGCGCCCATGCAATAACGCCAACAACACAAACAACACCAATCATGATAATGAAAGGCCTGACTTTAAAAACAAAATATTCCAAACTTGTGTTCGAAGGATTTAACAGAGAGGGAGAGAAAAGTGAATATTCTCACGATTAACGACCATTACATATTTAGATTTTCCCGTCCATTTTAACACCTTTTCAATCAATTTCATACTTTTTCACTCAATGTCGTCCTGATACTTCTGAAATGTGTACATCTTCTAGTCAATTTCGTATTTGGTCATTCATTTTTTTAATAACTTAATAACTTTAATAACTCGCATTCAATTTCGTCAAAGTCAAATTAAGTTTGTTATCCTCGGCTGCCACGTTCACATTTATGTTTCAATCATTCTATTTGTATTTTGTATTTGTAGTTATTAACATTTAATTCCTTCTCAACGGTAAAATATGAAGCACAATGCATATATTAATTATATATGTAACAATGATTTCAACGTAGAGTATACAGTTAATAATTCAGATAACAGAAGAAGGCGAAAACCCGAAAAGCATAGCTTGAGTTGGGAACGCCCATTATAAGTTAACACCGTTACTGAGATAACACTATAGATATTATTATGAAAATTACATATTGTATAACAGAACGTTGATAGGAAACAAAAGATAGTAAATGGAAGAAAAAATGGGAAGAGAATTAAGTATAAGAAGGCACGTTCACTTAGAAAGAGAAGTTGTGTCTACAATTACATCATAACAATGACAAAGTACTACAATACCAAAATAGACACCGCGTACATATCCTTAACAACAAGCAAAATCATCAAACAGCAGCTTCATCCGACAACATTGTCCTGGGTAATATAAAGCTGGTACCTAGCAACAGCTGAGGCGTGTACGTAAGTGATCAAAATAAATAAATAAATTATCGGTCATACAACATGTTATCGTATTCTAAAATATAATTTATTTTAAGACGGGACCAGTATGGGAGCGATAGTGCATTCTGGATTATATACGAATAATCCTCTTCTGCAATAATGTAAGCTTTTGAATTTCAAATGTTTTCTAAATGTTTCCAAAACAATTTCATGTTTGTAGATCACAGTTTAATCTAGCTTAATGTCCCAAAAGCAATCTTAGCAATGATTATTGTGATAATGAGTATTATAAAACAGTTATTGCTGCTCTTTAATACAACCATTATTATCCAATGATTCCTCAACCCTTAATGACAATATTTTCACCAACTTCCTTTAACAAAAATGTCTGGCTTTCATTCCGTAGATCCCGCTGGTTGCAAGATTGTTGTCTGACTTGCTTTTAATGACAAGAACGGTGACGTCATTGTTCAGAACGCTTTCCGCCCCCTTTCCGTTCTTTTTTTTACCTTGACACCTTGTATTATTTTAGTATTCTTTGTTCATCGTCTCAACAATACTATTTGAACAATATTTGATGGCAATAGACGGCACTCTTGTACTAACTGAATTTGAACCCGGGGTTTTCCCTACTCTCTACAGTCTCTCTCTCTCTCTCTTTTGTAACTGCCTTCCTTTTTCCTTGCGTACTTCCTTCTGTACGAGCTTTGCTTGATTATTTGGTACTGGATGATTAACATGGGAAAATGAACTTGTTAACATAATCAAATGATGTGTTATTCATTCTAGTTTTTGTTTTTTCTTACTGTTTTCA